CACTTTCCCCAGATCACTCCTATGAGAAGTCAGGAACACACAAAAGAAAAAAAAATCTGAAAATTACTAGGCTAATTTTTTATTGTATTGGAGAAAGCTTTGATCTTGTAACTGTAAGGCTATTCAAGTTACAAATCTGCTCTTTCATTTCTGTGACTGTTCTTAAACTCATTACAATAATCAATATTTTCTCACTGAAAAGATTTCAATTCCCTGAAAAACCTGGTAAAAATCTAATGCTGACAAAATTTCTTCACCTTTTAAAGTCAAGTGTTTCATTTGGATGTAATGGGAACATGGTACTTGGTAAAAACCTAGAGATTTCCCAAAAGTTAGGCAGAGTTACAGGGACTTCCGAGGTCTATTTGGGATCTAGGACCACATTCTTTCCTTGATTATGCAAAGTCAGTTATATCTGCATGGCGCTGAACCACCCCAGCAATGTGATGAATATCAGAATGACCTGGTAAGTCAGGGCCTGGACAAATTTTTTTAACATTTATTTATCATTGAGAGACAGAGACAGAGCATGAGCGGGGGAGGGGCAGAGACAGAGGGAGACACAGAATCCAAAGCAGGCTCCAGGCTCTGAGCTGTCAGCACAGAGCCCGACGCAGGGCTCGAACTCACGAACAGCAAGATCATGACCTGAGCCAAAGTCGAACGCTTAACCAACTGAGCCACCCAGGTGTCCCAGGGCCTGGATTTCAGGATTTCTAAGTCTTCCTTTTTGGAAAAGAGCAATGAAATTCCTGGGGACTCTCAGTCTGTTCTCCCTCCCTTGACCTACGGGAGAGTTAGTTACCCTGGGCCGTTGGCTCAGGCCAATGTGAGTGTGTGTAGGGTCAAGGCAAACCTTCAAGTTCCCATGGGACTCTGCGCACGATGGCATCTGTAGATGAAGTCCAGCCTCTCTCTGTACGGCTCACGGGAAGTTCGGACAGTGTTCATCACCCATTCCTAACCCGGGGAGTGGACACACTGCGGAAGTGGAAATGGCATGTGGGACGGTGAGCAGGAAGCAGGGAGGATTCAGACTCTCACATGGACCTACTGCATAATTGGATAAGAAAGTAGATTCCTTTCTGACTTCGTCTTGGGAACTAATACTCAGTAGAAGACTTTTATTTTTTTAGAAGACTTTTTTTTTTTTTTAATATTTTTATTTATTTCTAGGAGAGAGAGAGAGACAGCGTGAGCAGGGGAGGGTCAGAGAGAGAGGGAGACACAGACTCCGAAACAGGCTCCAGGCTCTGAGCTGGCAGTCAGCACAGAGCCCGATGCGGGGCTCGAACCCACGAACTGCAAGATCATGACCTAAGTGAAAGTCGGACGCTTAACCAACTAAGCCACCCAGGTGCCCCTAGAAGACTTTTAATATGACAGATGCACGCAGTCCTAAAACTTCACTTTAAAAATACCTGATGAATGATGACAGTCGTAGAAAATAATATAAAAACGTAATTTTGAAATTCTGATTCTTCCTAGCAATTTTAGATCATAAAAAATGAGATCCTCAAATATCTCCTGTAGTATATTTCGACGCAGGGGAAAGCCCCCACAACACCTGAAGATTCACCCAAAATGGAGCCGTTGTGTATTACACGTGTGAGTGCTAGCGCACGTCACAGTAAGTGCGTATATTTCCTATTCCAGGACCATCTCGACGTCAATGATATATGCTTTTTAAATTCTAAGGAGATACCAATTTTATGTTATTTGCTGTACGCTGCACCTAGATGGGTACTGAGTGAATAATCACTTGTGAAGAATCTACTGGTAACCAACAGTGTGCTATTCTACTGCCAGTAAGTGAGTAGGTGTGTTAGTTTCCTACAATTACATCCTTGGCATACGGATCACGACAGTCCCCTTTCTGTAAGTCTCGTTGGGCTGCGAGCGCGGATCGCAGGAGGAAGGGGGAAGGTAGGGGTGAGGTCTGAGGATGTGGGAGCATTGCCCCTGAACGGGAGGGAGAGCAGCCCTGCTGCGTCCCGTGGTCTCCCACACGGTCAGCTCCTGTTTCTCTCTGCACGTTCTTTTGGCTTCCTTTCCCAGCTGGCTTCCTCTGTCTTCTCTCAAACTCTGCCCGCGACTCCAGCTTCCGCGTGCGGGTGGCCTTCACTCCTTCAGCCCTGGGGGACATGTCAGCATCAGAGCCCGTAACAAACGAGCAAGCTCACTGCGTTTCTTAGTTCAAACTTCCTGCAAGCACAGGACTGACCCGGCTCATCTTTTCAGTCCACATGCATGCTTGATTCTCTAGATCACATTTCTAGGGCACAGTGCAGTGATCCTCTCTGGAGGGACCCCTAGCTCCCCAGGCGAGTCTAGCAGGACAGTGGAGACGCAGTGGGGCAGCCTGACTAAGGCTCACTGTCCTTGAGGCCGGTGCCCGTCCCTGGTCCACTCGTGAAGTGAGCGTGGATTAGGCAGATGCAGGGAAATCAAGGCTGGCTGGGGCATTACTTTCCTATTGCTGCTTCTCCTGTGGTAGCAAACGACCACACGTTTAGTGGCTTAAAACAACACACATTACGTATCTCACGGTATTAGAGGTCGGAAGTCTGAAACGGATTTCACTGGGCTAAGTCAAGGTTTCGGGAGAGCTATGTTCATCCCAGAGGCCCCACAGGAGAATCTATCTCCTTGTCTTTCCCACCTTCCAAAAGCGGCCTCCGTTCTGCGGCTAATGGCCCCCTCTGCCAGCTGCAAAGCCAGCGACGGCTGATTCAGTCTTTCTCACGTGACATCACTCTGATGCGGGCTCCTTCTACCTTCTCCCTTCCGCATGGACAGGAACCCTGGGACAGCGCTGGACAATCCAAGTTAACCCCTTTCTCTTAAGATCAGCACCCTTCATGTCCCCGTCCCGTCACACAGCATATCCACAGGTCCCAAGGATGGAGACATGGACATCTTCAGAGGGGCCATTATCATTCTGCCCACCACGAGCAGACTACGCGGAACAGGACATGTGATGTGTGGGGTTTACTTACAGGCTCCGTAAACACAGCCAGTCTAACACTATGCTGAGTGTTACTACAGCAGGAGATAGAGCCTGACTACGAAAACTTTAGCCACGGATGCTGGTTTCCATCTTTTATACTTTACATCAACAGACATTTCAGCCATAAAAACAAGAGACCAAAGTGTTCTTAAAAAAATATTATGAACTCAAACAGAAAGACTTTTACCCTCCAATAATTTACCAGCTATTTTCCAATAATTATACCAATTTATACATTGTATCAACAACCACTACTCAAAATCAATTGCAATTAGTTTAGATCCCAAAAAGAATCTATTTTAAAACAGATTTCAAGTAATTTTCAAATTACTTTTGCCTCTGCCAATGATTATAGATATATTAAAAATAGAACAACACAGTACGATTCTTTTAAAGAAAAAATACTTCTCCAGACTGTTTCTTCTTCAAACGTTAAATAAAATTACTTGAATGTTTTTATTTTTTTATTCATTTTGAGAGAGAGAGAGCATGAGTGAGCACCATCAGGGGAGTGGGGAGAGAGACAGAGAGAAAGAGACAGAGAGAGACAGAGAACAAGCACCAGTGGGGGAGGGGCACAGAGAGGGAGGGAGGGAGGGAGGGAGAGAGAGAGAGAGAGAGAGAGAGAGAGAGAGAGAGAGAGAGAGAGAGAAAGTCCCAAGCAGGTTATGCCCTGTCAGCGCAGAGCCGGACACAGGGCTCGAACCCATGAACCACAAGATGACCTGAGCCGAAATCGAGAGTCAGATGCTTAATCAACTGAGCCACCAAGGCACCCCAGAAAGTACCTGCATGTTTTTTAAAAACGTATTTCTGTGCTTGAGCCTACCAGCATGTGAAATCATGGAGGATTTTCTAATCATTAACAGCGCTTCTGGAAAATTTTGCTGTGAAAACCTGTCACCCAAATTCAGTGTAAACCATCTAAACCCAAAAGGCGTGGGACAAGTGAGAACACAAGATCATGACATAAATGTAAAAGTTAGAGGGAAAACATTCTGACTTCAAAAAGCTTTGAAGGAAGATGCATTTTCATGAATATCTGAGTCTTAAGAAATGAACTATTTCCTGGGTAGTTCACATCCATATTCAAACTTAAAATAATAGAAAGTCCTTCCTGCTTTATACTTGCTTGTGTTCACATAACCTATGTGTGTAATATATACACAGTACTGTATATGCAACAATCAGTTTATCTACTCACCTCAATTTGGAACTTGGTACCTGCATTTTAGTCAGTAAAAGTCAGCAAATCTCACTATTTTGGGGCTTCGATCTTCAATTCATTTGGAATACTACTTAATCAAATAATGCTTGAGCACCTACTCTAGGCCAGGCATGTTACAAGTGTTAACAAGTTTTCAATTTATCCTCTTAAAAAGAAAATGAGTCCTGTCCAAGCTTAACAAAGTAATTCACAGGTTTTTTTTAAGTACCAATCATTTTATCCTCATTTAATAAGCTTTTAAAAATGACACTACTTGGAATCCACAATTTGGTCTTCTCTAACAATCTGTAAATTGGCCAATTTGAACTTTATGTCTTTAGCATATAAAGTTGGTATCTTAAGACCACTGAGTTATTGGGGCACCTGGGTGGCTCAGTCAGTTGAGTTTCTGACTTCGGCTCAGGTCATGATCTCACAGTTCGTGAGTTCGAGACCCCTGTGTCGGGCTCTATGCTGACAGCTCAGAGCCTGGAGCCTGCTTTGGATTCTGTGTCTCCCTCTCTCTGCCCCTCCCCTGTTTGTGCTCTGTCTCTCTCTGTCTCTCAAAAATAAATAAACAGTTTAAAAAATTAAAAAAAAAAAAAAAAGACCTATAAGTTATTTCACTCTGGGAAAATCAGGAGGGAGGTGGGCTCTTTCCTTCAAAGCTGCGGTCTCTTTGGACAAAACTAACGACTGACCTGAAACCAATCTGCTGGTGTCAAGGTTAATAACGTGGCACTGGGAACCAGAAAGAAGTGTTGTAGACGTAAGAGGACTTACTTAGACTGCTCAGCTGACGTATGATAGCAGCAAGAGTGCTGTTGGTGACACATTCAAGTTCACTGGTAATCCCTTCCGGCAGGGCTCCCCCGCACAAGTGCCGGGGTTCAATGTTCCTCTTCACCAAAGGCATGGCTCACAATCTGAAAATCAGAAAGACGGTTTTTTTAAAAGCTCACATTCACATTTTAACAAATTTAGAGTTTGCATTTTCCTTTCTGCGTGAAGAGTCAGTGAAATACACAACAGAGGGTGAATTAATCATATTAAAGTGTATCGATTTCAAAGACATACATAGTGTACAGTCTCTACTTTTAGAGAAAGAGAATGTAAGCAAGATTTCCAGTCAAGTATGAACGACTGAAGACATGCATTTTTACTTTCCCTCCCTTCTCTACTAAAATGATGGGAGAAAAAGGCAGAAGCCCAGAAGTACTTTCCTGGGGCAGGAAAGGACACAGTAGCCCCAAACTGGACAGAGCCTCATGAGATTAAGACACAGAAAAAGCCACATCCCGGAGGCAAGTGGGAGGGAGAAAGGAAGTGAGCCCACCTGCCCACCTTCCCCAACAGAATGTGTCATGTATCCATGACATGGGCAGAGGTAGGGGGAGAGGGGAGCGGGGTGGATGGATCCCCAGGTGCGACAAGCTAATGAACTAGATGTACTACAAGGATCTACAGGAACGAATATGAAAACAGGAGGGCTAGCTTTTAAAAATCCATTTACAAATTCCTTCTCCCTTCCTGGGCTGCCCCCACTCCACCCTACCCAGCAAGTTTTACTTTCTCGTGAATTCCGGGATTTGGACTTGAGACACGAAGCATAGCTAAAGGTCGGGGTAAGAAATGCACAGAGACCAGGGGTATTAATTCAAAGTCTACACTGAGTGTAAGACAGGGTTGCTCCCCACACCCTCATTCCCCAACTGGCTTCTCCTCTCGGCTCCCAGAGCCCCGGCAGCCTGGTTTTCACTCCCACCCAAAGAGACCGGGATAGCCCTCCCTGGGACTATTGGAGGAGGAATCTACAAATCTGGACACTGAGCCAGGGCTCCCCGCTATGAAAGATGCCAACCAGGTCACCCTACAGTTACAGCCGCCAATAATCTCTTCCCACACAATTTCCACACGGGTTTTAATGCCCCAGACATAAGAACGCACAGTGAAGGATGACCAGACACTTCATGAAAGCCTTCCCCAAGGTCCTGGGAAGCCTTTTCACTTCTCTCCTCAAAAAGTACTTTATAAATAACATAGGGGCGCCTGGGTGGCTCAGTCGGTTAAGCGTCCGACTTTGGTTCAGGTCATGATCTCACGGTTCGTGGGTTCAAGCCCCGCATCAGGCTCTGTGCTGACAGCTAGTTCAGAGCCTGGAGCCTGTTTCAGATTCTGTGTCTCCCTCTCTCTCTGACCCTCCCCTGCTCATGCTGTCTCTCTCTCTCTCTCTCAAAAGTAAATAAAATATTTAAAAAAAAAGTACATTATAAATAACATAAAATCTCCCCTTTTTGGCTAAGGAGGTATATGGAGTTTCAAACTACCACTTATACAACCAATCTATTGCTCATACAACAGTCGAAAATCCAGGGACTGGGACAGAACTGTTATTTTGACAAGGTTATCATACTGCCCAACTTATTAGGAACAGAAACACAAGAGCCGAGGACGCTGGTCAGCAGTCAAACCAGCCCTGAAATGCCACTCCGGAATTCCTGCTACGTGAGACAAAAAATATCCTATTTGTTTAAACCACTGTAGCTGGGTTTTCTGTTACGCCGTGTGAAACTTATCTCCCACTGGTACAACTGAATGGAACATGGTACCCAAAGAACCTGGAATGTGCTAAGCATATAATAAATCTTTGCCTTTCTTCCCCCTTTCTTTAAGACCTTTGCTCATGTATCTAATACAGAGCACCTACAACATACCCGGCGGTGTAGGTGACAAGGATTCAGTGGGGAGTGAAAACAGGCAAGGAGCCCCCCCTTCTCATTGAAGCTCTATTCTACAAGAAGAGAGGCATTGATCCAACCACACTGGTTCACGAACTTGGGGTTAGAAAACCATTTGTGGGGGCAGGTGCCCAGTTGTCTACAGTCACGAGCAGCCTCCCATGGACGCTGGACGGGATTTGCTGACCTGAATATGAAGGGTGAACAAGGGTCCTGTGGTAACGTGCGGGATGAAGAGAAGGAAGGCCGAAAGGGGGTAGAGCTAAAAAGGAAAAGTTCTGTTCAGTTACCCGATGTTTTATTGACTATTTCTGCCTTATATCCATGAAGGTGGTGGCTCAACATACCGACCCCATTTTCAGATTCAAATACTACTTCACCCATTGACGTAGGCACACTGCCTACAAGCACATCCCTTCACCTCTCGGTGCCTCAGTTTCCTCCCTGTAAAATGGGGATAACAGCAGTACCTACCCTAGAGAGTGAGAATCTAATGAACTATCACATATATTAATCATTTAGAACAGCCTGAAATATAGTAGCACTAAAGAAATGTGACCGATTATTAATTTAATATCATATATGTTGTTATAATGTTAATTCTTATTTCTATTATACTAAAAAAGGAACAGTTGACTGGCTGACGATAAGGCTGAACCACAGAAATTAACAATATTTGTATAAAACTTATGTGAAAGAAGACATACACGCTCAAGGAAGGAATGCTAAAATACAAAAATTCTGGATCTGTCTACAAGTCTCAAGGGAAAAAGAGAAGGTTTACTGTGAGCTGTCATTTCTTTCTGGAACCACCTAAGACCGACAGGACAGGATGGTCATGAATCACAAGGAGATGAACCAGAAAACCAGAATTCATCAGAAGGGGAAAAAAGAAAAATCATTAATAAGCTTAATAAAAGTACAGTGTGTGGGAAAGAAAACTACTGAAAGCGAGAAGGAAATTAAGCAGCAAAACCCGTGATATCCATCAGGAAGCACGGAGCGATCAGGGGGTGGGGGGTGGAGTGGGATGTGGTGGTAAAAGCTTCTAAAGACGGCACAGGTAAGCTAGCAAACTGGATGTTCTAGAAGAATCTGTGCAGTCGGCTTGCGACGCCGATCTGTGAAACTGGCCCAAGCATGAACTCGCTTTTACATAATTTCTCACAGAGGTGCCGTCAGCTTGTCCGAAACGTGGCCACAGCTAGTTAATACCTACGTCCCCTCTCTCCCTGGGCTGGGGAGCTCCCCGGTATCAAATACGCCTGACGTTCATCAGGGCATACATGGGGGCAACCAGCGGGCTGTTTGCCACACAGTGAACCTCAGACACGCGCACCTGGTTCTCCTGACGTTCTCAGGTAGAGGGGCTCCCGGCCTGCTCTGCTACCCCACCCACCCCTGCCGAAGGCCCCTCAGTTTCATATTTAAGACAGCCCCCTCTTGTGTTCATACAGAGAACTGTTTGTTGGCTTAACATGGTGGGTCCTGGGAGGCTCCAGGGGACCTTGGCAAACCCGTGGAAAGGGCTCACCTAGAAGCCGTTATTAGGACACCAAGGAAGAAAGCTGAACTCTAAATGGGTGTAGTAACCACATTTTTTGTTTCTGCATTCTGCTTTGACATCTTGGAGCCAGATGGAGGTCCCTGGAGGGACTGGCCCTTCAGGGGGTGAGCCTCGTCCTAGAACTAGTAAACTCACCCAGGGGCTGGCCTCTCGTGTGCAAACCTACCAACCATAGCTCACACCTCCTCTATCTGTTCTCACACCCCATGCCACCGACCATCCGCCCCAATCACCCCAGGACCAGGTACCAGACAACCAGGTACATCATGCCCCAAAGCCTGCTGAAGTTACTCGAAGTAGCCAATCCCAAACCTGCTTAGCCCGCCTTCTCTGTCCTTTCCCAAAGAAACCACAAGAAAGGCTCTTGATGTCAGTTTCCTGTGCCGCTGTCTCCAGGTAGCCCCCAAGCCCAGAACTCCCCCACGTGGTCCCCTCATGATGCGGCGTACCCCTCATCTTCGGATCTGTACCATTTATCTTACGGTATCATCTCCCGATCTTTTGGCCACACTATACATCACCTTTTCTGTTAGCAAACTATATTTTAAGACAATAGGGAAGTCTGAGAAGGATTCCAAGGAGGCAACGTGGAAGTTATTCATCTGCAGCCCCGCTTACCATTCCAAGGGAAACGCAGAAGTCTACGTGCCTGGTACCAGGCTAGGACTTCCTCCCGAAGTGGACTATAAGCTTTCTGAATTCAGGGACGGAGTCTACAAGTCTGTGTTTCCCACACCACCTTGTATAGTCCCCAACACAACCCGAGCATCGAAAACCTCTCTGCTGGTTACACACCCACATGTGTAGACAGACACGTCTGTTTGGCCTTCTCCTTGGCATCTGTTGTTTTTCCAGTATCTCAGCCCTAATTAATCCCAGCCTTCATTTCTCACCCTCATGAGGCATCTCTCTGTCACTCCCACACTTGTCTAAACACAAATGATACGCCAGAGGGAGGCCGTGCTACTCTCTCCTCAACTCTAGAAAAATTGTTCTGTAGTTCCTCCCGAAAGTTCTAATTGCTCAGCAATGACTTTCGGGACTTTCCGATCCGGTGTGAAGTGCTTTACCACATGTATTTTTCCCCTTTATTTCATCTGACACTAATCCAGTTTCGAATAAATTGAACAGCAGGGTAAAGGGGAAAATGTGGGGTCACTCATTCAGACACGTAATGAACTAACCCAATTAGTCACCAACAAACCACTTAAGTATGCTCTCGAGTCCTTCACTGGGGAACTACGGTGCATCCAGAGCTTTCCTCAAAGTCATTCTGTGTGCTGAGGAAAAGAATCAAAGATCACTAATCAAACGTTTATGGACCATCAGAGGTTACATAAGGTATTGCTATTAAACCCGTAGTTCGTCCAACCTTTCTGGGAACTGTTTCAATTTAGAGAGAGACAACCTGGTTCACATAACCGTGAACTAGATTCCAGACACGGCTGAAACCAGGCCAGAGGCCTTCGCTGGGAATTTGCAAGTGGGACCCCCACACCCAGCTCTGCTCTCTCGAACAGCAGACACAGGAAACTCCTCCACCACAGGAAAGGAGACTGGCACAGTCACCGCGAAGAAATGAGAATGAAGTGACAGACAGGCTGGGAAAGACAAGAGGCGG